TTCTTAACAAAGTTAATAAAGTAGATCTTTAAAAATATATTTTATTTAAAAAGTATATTGTTAAAATTAATATTTAAGATTTTATTAAAAAATTAGAGTTTAAAAAATGAATGCAGTTAAATTTGCTTGTGTTACAATTTAAGAATAAGTTTTTTTTAGTAATATTCTTCTATACATTCTCTTTTCCTCTAAGTATCTTGAGTTTTTTCTTGGTTTTTTCATTTCTAAGTTTTGATCAAACTGCTCGGATTTTCTTTCTTTCATATTTTGGATATAGAAGTTTTCTTTTTCCTTTTCTTGGTCTTTTTTCTTTTATTTTTCTTTCTAAAACTTGGTTTGCTTCCTAGGAATTTTTTTTATATTTCATTAAAGATCTTTTGGTTTCTGAGATATTCTACAAAAATCTTTTCTAATATATTTAGTAATATATTTTTTTTTCTGATTTTTGACACTCTTCGGCCTAAGTACTAATATGCTTGAAGATGGATTTATATCCAAGTTCTATTGAGACTTTAACCCATATATCCATTTTGTGAGTAAATCTTTTTTTTTCTTTTTCTATATTTTACTATTATACTGTGAATCTTTAATACTTATATGGTATATTACTTCTGTTAGCCATTCTTCTGAAGTTGTTAGTATGATTTGGTCTTGATTTCTCTTGAATCTTGTTTAGCATCTTTGCTTTTGTGAAACTTGGAATACTGTGTCTCTTGTTTTTATCTTGCTTTTCTTTTCTGGTTTGCTTTTTTTCTCTTTTCTGATATGCTAAAGCTAATTCGACAGATATTTTAAACTTTATTGTCTGGAGCGAAGTGACAGACTTATACTTCTACGCTGTTTGATGACTGAAATTACATTTTGATACATTTATAATCAAAAAATCAAAAATGTAGTTGTTGTATTTTTCAGATATAACACCGTGTACTTTTATTTGAATAATCATATAACAAAAATAGATTACACATTTAGCAACCAATCGTACTAGCAGAATTATTTCTTTTTTTTTTATTTCTATTGATAATTATTTATTTGTTTCGCTTTTATTCTTTTACATTATTATTTCACCTTTTTACCTTTTGTTTTTTTGTATCTTTCGTACTTTTTTAATTTTGCTTTTTTTTATTTTTTCATTTTCTTTCTTCTTTTCATTTTTTCTTTCTTTTTTATTTGTTTTATTTTTTCTTCCCATCTTTTTTTTTCGCTCTTTTTTTTGTCTTTATTTTTCATTCTTTTTTTCTTCATCTTGCCTTTTCTTTTTACTCTTTGTTCTTTCTTTTGTTTCTTAATTACTTCATCTTTTGTGTTTTTTTCGTTCTTTCATATCTTTGTATTTTTTTCATTTTTCTTCTTTCATTTTTTTGTTTTTCTTTCTTCTTTCATTTTCTTTCATTTTATTTTTTTACCTATCTTTTAGTTTTTTTTCACTATTTTCTTGTCTTTTTTTGTTCCATTCTTTTTTTTCATCTTGCTTTTTTTCTTTTACTCTTGTTCTTTCCTTTGTTTCTTTATTTGCTTCATCTTTTGTGCTTTTTTCATTCTTTTTTCTTTTCTTTGTTCTATTTTTTCTTCCATCTTTTTTGTCTTTTGTTCTTTCGTATTTTTTGTACTTTTTTTTTTGTTTGTTTTTTATTTTTTTTTTTTATTTATCTTTTTTTTTTCTCTTCTTTGTTTTCTTTCTCTGTTTTATCTTTTTTCTTT